AATTCTTCCAGTTTTAATTTGGATTCAACAAGGCATTATTCTCTCCATCTAAAATCCCTACATAAAAAAACAAAACAAATGTTAAAGTATATTCAATAATTTTACTTAATCCATGTCTATTTATATTTTATATTCATTTAATGAAAAGTAATAATCTAAGATAAAAATGTGAGAATTTACAAATTGAAGAGAAATAATTTTGGAGAAATTGTAAAAATACCACTTTTTATGTGCATATTTGCGAAAATACCACTTAGAGGTGTTCATTTGCAAAAATGTCACTAATTATAGATTTTTAAACCTTATATCTTAAAATTCTAAACACTAAAAAATGTTTTGACCCCTAAATCCCCCTAAACCCTCATAACTAAACCCTAATAGAATATAATTAACCCAAACATAAATAATATAAGGAAAAAAATAATTTTGAAAAAGTGGTATTTTTGTAAAAATTTCAAAAATGTGGTATTTTTGTAAAGTGGTATTTTTAAAAAAATTTCATTAGCTTTTCAAATATATTTAACCCAACTATAATTTTATTCGTTTTTTTTTTTGGAAAATTTTGTTATTTGGCTTTGTCGTATATGGATACTTTTGCGAAGTTTATCTCGGTTTTACAACATCAAATAAGTAAATTAGTCTACTTTTTTCAGATGATCAATATTTAATCTACTTTTTTTGGCTAAAATTTAATAAAAAATAAATTAACTATATATATAAATATAAGAAACACAAAAAATGTAAGATGAATTATATATGGAAAATAATTATTTTCCAAACATCAAAATTATATAAACTGGTGAGACGAAGATAAAGGAGAAAACAAATGATAAGAAATCATACTATAGATATATTATAAAATAATTGATAATTTTTATTTTCAAAATATTATTCGGTTATTTAGATAACATGATTTATTCAATGACAAACTATATGTAGATGACAAAATTTTAAACACATATATTTAAAATAGTAATTACGGTCTTGATATGATTGAGAATCATTTCATATTTTCATGTAGTATAAATAAGAGAAGTAATTTATTTATTCAAATTCAATATTATTTGTATGTACAAACAATAATTGTTTTGTCAAAAATTAATACTAAACAATTAAAAAATCAAACTTTTTGTCACCAAATTTAATAAATTTAAAAAAAAAACTCGTGCGATGCGCGAGTAATATTATAGTAACTCCAAA